ACTTTATAAATTGCCTGTTATTACTGTAAAATTTAACCTATAATTCCTAAAATATGGCCTAAAATTTGGCTCAAAAATCACACAATAATTGTATAAATTCAGGTCAAAAATAGGATAATTATTGAATGAATTACCATGCAATAATTGTGTGATTTATTGCAATTTTTAGCACAATTATTGTATGGTCAAATATACAGAAATCGTAGTGAATTTAATTCAATGATTTTTCAACAAAAATCACACAGACTTTTTTCATAGGGCAAAAGAAGACCAAGCAACTAAATAGAATAAAGAACAAACCCCAAAGAAATAAACTACAAAAAAAAGGGGGACAGTCCTAAATTAAATTTTTTACCCCTGAGAATCACCCTTTTTGGAATGAAACCTGTGGCTTGTACGTAAAAATTCAATAAATAAAACCATGTCGCGATTGTCGCGTCAAATCATTTTTTCTTTAGATTGTCAATAATGATAATTTAATCATATCAATGGTTATTATTATTTATAGGTTTCATAGTTTTTTTTTTATAAAAAGAAAATACTGTCAACATTCTGCCGCTCCACTTTCTTCAAATATTCAACGATATGCTCGTAAGCCACAGTTTCATTCCAAAAAGGTGATTCTCAGGGGTAATTTAGGATTGTGTTAAAATTCCTAAGAATTAGGAAATTTTTTTAGGAAAAATACATGATTATCTCGTTATACTGAATACAATGTCATAAAACCGGTTTTGCCTGTTTCTTTAATTTCATTATATATAGTATTCATTCATATATATCATCGGCATAGTAATTAATTTTTAATTGCATTTCTTGAATGAAATTATCAATTTTTCCATTTCTACTAGTCCAGTTTTAAATTGTTCTTTAAATATTTCACACGTTTCCAAGAGAATAGCACTATTATTTAAACAGCTTAAACGGCTTAAAAATTTTTTTTTTTTGAATGAAATATTAATTTTTTGTAACAAGCTAATATACAGTAATCATCAAAAAAGCTTGTGCGAAAAAGGGCAGGACGTATGTGATATGGCTGATAAATAGTTAATTATTGTTACAACAATTTTTATGGTTAGGTTGTATGGCATGCCGAGCTGGTCAAGTTAAGAAAGCATACAAAGTATATATGTGACGTAATGGAAACATGTCACTATCACAGTGATCATGATGTGATAATTGCCTGATCGACATATATTATAACTGTGCTGCAATAGGATTGCTATAGACTTTAAATATTTTAAAAAATTTGCTATAACTTAGAGGATAGACAACAAAAAAAAAGATTACAATAAAATAAATAGCAACAAAAAAAGTATAAATAATATAAATAAATACGATAATATGCTTGGTTTAATAATGTTAAATAATAATTAAATATTTATATCAAAATTTTAAACTGTGATAGTTTCCCCATATCAGTATCCTTTAATACCATTAATTTAATTAATGTGGCAATTTTTCATCATAAGAAAAATGCTAAAAGAATCGAATTATTACTATTCTAAGGGTAAATTATAATACTTAACCATTATTCGAAATTCGTAACTTAATTTTTGGGGAGGTCCGATCACCATCGCGTATTTATGTTGTTTTGGTGCCTCATTTCTGTTAATTCCTTAGTCACAAACTATGACTCTCTATTTGACATCATAACTAAAATGATCTGCAAATTAATCACCTGACCTTCCTATCACTTGACTTAATAATTCATTAGTTTAACGTCATCGCGGACGTTACACTAATTCTAAATATAATACTGCGCCCACAATTAATAAATTTACTAGGTATATTACGGCATTACAGCATAGAGTTTAGAATCGTTTAAGACGGTTAGGTATCTCAAAAATCGGTTAATCGATTAAAATTATCAAACCATAATTCTGGTCAAATTATCCAGAGCTGTGAATTTTTGGTCAAATGTTCTCCGAACTTGGACGAATTTGTATTAATTTTTTAATGATAATAATAATAAATAAGGCTTTCAAAAACAATTTGGCGCAATTTGCGGTAAAAAAAAAATTTTTAATATTTTAATATTAATCGATTATTAATCGATTAGGGCCCTTGGTTACAAAATGTATAATAATAATAATATAACTAATAACAAAAAAAAAAAAAATTAAA